GAGGCTGTGGAAGGCGACGAGGCGACGGCGACGAAGCGGCGACGTGAGGCTGTGGAAGGCGACGAGGCGACGGCGACGAAGCGGCGACGTGAGGCGGCGACGAGCGGCGGCGACTAGATGCAAACCCTAGACAGGAGAGGACGAGACGACCAGAGACGAGGCGACGAGGCGACGGCGACCGGAGACGAGGCTGCGGCGATCGTAGGATGGGGGAGGGGCTGTGAGCGATGTGTGAGGATGACGGGAGAGAGGGCATAGTTGGAAAAATAAACATCTAAATGGTTTAGTGAGGTAGTAGATGCAAAATGGTTAAGAGGTTATTGTAATCATTAAGAGAGTTGTTTTTTTTTTTGCCAAACAGACCTAACCTCTTAGCGATTAAGAGGTTGGCTCTTAATGTAACCAATAAGAGCCAAACAAACAGCCACTTAGTATTTTTCTTTTATATATATATATATATATATATATATATAAACTAATAAATATATACAAATATCAGGTCGACCCTGCCGGTGTTCATCGTCCCACCCCTGTCCTCGATAAAATCCCGAATATGCCCTTGATCCCCGTACCATCCTCGAAATGAACCCGTAAATTTTGATTTTCGGTTTTTACCATCGGTTTCTGTTTTTTTACCATCGTTTTTTTCAAATCATGACCCAAGGGGCAACGAGGGTTAGGGGTTGTTTGTTTTCTTTTTAATAGTTCTATTAAGAGGCAACATTTGAATCGTTAAAAGGTGAATCTTGTTTTGCAAAAAAAATCTGTCTCTTAATAATTCTAAAACACTCTGAATGATTTTGTATCCTAAATCTCCTTTAATCATTAAGAACTTTAATTTCATTGTACATAATTACCGAACAATTATATTTTATTTTGCATTATATCATAAGAACCTTTTAATCATTTTGACCACTTAATAATTCTATATCAAACTATTCAACGATTAAAAAAAAACCTAGAGTTTGTTGAAAACTAGAGGAGGAGGCTACTGGTCCAACAATATCTAACGGTCAACCCCTACCAGCCCCCACTCACTTCCTCCACCATTACACCCCGATATTGCGTTTTCTGTGTGTCTTCTCTCACCATCTCTCTCAGCATCACCAGTCCCACACACAGACGAAAAGCAAAGAAAACGTTGCGACTTCATTTCCTTCTTTTGTTTTCTCTAAACCCTGACCCCACCTCCATAGTAACAGTGGAGGTAGGCAAAGAGACTAGAAGCAGTACGAGTAGCAGAAGACGAGTATACCATCACCACCGCGATGGCTAATCCATAGCAGAAGACGGAAGAAAAAAGCAAATACTGCCATGGTCATGTCGTCGTCCAATGATAATCATAATCATAATCATCCATCAACTTCTCTTACTAAAGACCTCTTTCCATCTACATCTCTCGCTCTCACTCTCGTAACTCGCAATTTTACTTATCTTCATCTCTTTCGTTTAGTTTTCGATTAGATTCTCGTTTTGTTGTTTGATTTTGGTTTGGATTTTTTTTATAGGGATTTTTTCGTGAGGGAGAAGAGCAGGCGGTGGATGATCGAAGGGAGGATGGTGGTAATACTACTACTACGGTGACGGAGATCAGTAGTGAGAATTCTGGACCGGCGAGATCACGATCGGATGATGATTTTGATGTTGATCCTGACGTCGATGACGGAGACGACGATAATAATAAGAACAAAAGTAAGAAGAGGAAAAAGTACCACCGCCACACCGCTGAACAAATTCGTGAAATGGAAGCGTATGTCACTTGTTTTTCCTTATACTAAATGTGTTTTTCATTGTTTGCCCCTAATACACACAGAATTGAACATGCAATTGATCATCCAAAATTCTTCCGCAATTGATTTCTTGTAGCTATGAATTTACTATCGTACTAATTTTAATAAATGGATCATGGTGAAACTTTCACCATGACAAAATTGTCTTGCCTGATGCATCTAGATCTTATTATCCGGTTGCATAGAATGTTCTTCCGTCCTAAATTAGGGATTGATAACAGATGAGTAGTGCAATTTGATGCATGGTGGTACTGTTTATAGTTCAAGAAAAACGATTGTTGAAATTAGGAATCAGTTTACATTGGGTCTAAGTTTAGAGATACAAAGTGACATTTAATTTACATAAACTTACATTATAAGAAGTTAAGAACATCATAGTTTCTGAAGATCATGTAATTATACCAGGAAGGGAAGCATTTGATTGCAGATGAGTTGGTAGCTTGTAACTCGGTTTATCAAGAATAGACTCGGTTTGAAGAACTCAGTAGACAATAAGTGAGAGGTGGATAGCCCATCAAAATAGGCTATAAAAGAATCTTTGCAAGAAAATGGAGGTGGTTGTGTAAGATGATACATTGAATAGGATCACTAATTCAGCTTTAAGAAACAACAAAAAAAAGGGTAAAGCTATTGTTAAATTAAAATAATAAAAAAATAAAGGTCATCATGTAAAGCTCTTTTCTTTCTCTTGTAATTTAATAATAAAGTGTATCACTCAAAATCAAGAAAGGGGAGGCAACAACTAACCACAAGCATGTGTGTTTGCATATTTTAAAGGTGATGTGGTGAAGTTTGGGACAATATTGTCACATGTATATATATATATATATATATATATATATGCCAAGTCTTTGTGTTGAATGACAATTCTGGTCCTTTGAGTTTGTGATATGACTCATCTTATTCAGAGTCATTAAAGTCTTCTATATTGTTGGTCAAATAGCTTAACAGTAGTGGGAAGTCACAAATTCTAAATGTTACTTTGTGTGTGAACTCCCTATGACTGACTAATTACACTTCAAACTTTATAAACTCTACTAAATCTCATTTGCATGTCTTGTTAAAACGCTATATGCCTTCAAAAAAGTACAATTTTGCCTGCAAGAACAATTTTGTGATGGCATCTTTCATGATTTGTTTGTCTGCTTCCTCAGCTATCTTTTGGGTGATATCCCACCATCGATAGCTAATCCCTGAAGAAGTAAAGTTAGCCATTTATATACAGAGGGAAGTTTGCATTAATATACATACAAAATGAATTTTGAAGAGTGATTTTGTTAGATTGAATGGGTAGTAATTATGCAAAAATTTACTCATGACATTGTTTCTCTACATCAGTAAGGCATCACAATTTGAAGTACACCCTATCTAATAGCCTTTCCTAACCCAACGGCTTACAAGTACTCATGGAATATTCTTCGATATACTAGCAAATCGGATGACTCAGATTGAATAATATACAATTTAGCAGGTCAGGATGCATGATTGTTTTATATCAACGGTTGACCTTCCGTTTGCAGGTTATTTAAGGAGTCACCTCACCCGGATGAGAAGCAGAGACAACAGTTGAGCAAGCGGTTAGGCCTTCATCCCAGACAAGTGAAGTTCTGGTTTCAAAATCGCAGAACCCAAATTAAGGTTAGTTAGATGCATGCCAACAAATAGTTGTTGGTTACAGTTACGATAAAAAGAAAATCCGTCATATCTATTCAGGTTGCACAAAAAGTGACGGCAAAACTGTGCTGCTGTTGCAGGCTATACAGGAGCGCCATGAAAATTCATTGTTGAAATCAGAAATGGATAAACTACGTGATGAGAATAAGATGTTGAGGGAGACAATTAAGAAGGGTACTTGTCCTAACTGTGGTTTTGGTAGCTCTAGCAAGGATGCCATCACTTACACCGATGAACAGCAGCTTCGGATTGAAAATGCGAAACTTAAAGCTGAGGTTGTACAGTTATCAATTATTCACCTGAATTGAGTCTTTATTCATTAGAAGTGATGCACCTCAAATTTATAACTGAACTGGTGTTATATGTAGATTGAGAAACTGAGGACGTCAATTGGGAAATATCCACAGGGAATGTCACCAACAAACTCCTGTTCTGCAGGAAATGAACAAGAAAGCAGAAGCTCCTTAGATTTGTGTAGTGGGGTATTTGGGCTGGAAAAGTCTAGAATAATGGAGATTGTCAATCTAGCTATGGAAGAGCTCATAAAGATGGCTAGTGCTGGGGAACCACTGTGGATCCATAGCTTTGAGACAGGTCGAGAAATACTTAATTACGATGAATACTTGCATGAGTTCCCCATCGACACTTCAAGCAATGTTCAACATAAGAGATGCATCGAGGCATCTAGAGATAGTGGCATTGTCTTTATGGATCTCCCACAGCTAGTTCAAAGTTTCATGGATGTGGTACAGTGCACATATAACTTCATATTTCAATTCTAATTTTCAACTAAATGATCTAGCTGCTCTTTGCAGCCTTGTGTTGTGAGTTGTAATATTCATTAATACCAAAACCCAAGATACAAGCATGAATCAATATGGATATCGCCCACTTGAACTTTCTGGTTGACATGAAATATATGATGGTAGAATTCTGTTTGGATAGGTTTTATTAGTCATTTTCTAATGTCTACTTGTTATTATAGAAACAATACGAAGAGATGTTTCCATGCATGATCTCGAAAGCAGCTACCCTTGATGTTATCTGCAACGGGGAGGGTGCTAACAGAAATGGGGCAGTTCAATTGGTGAGTACAAGGGAAACTGTAATAACTCGTCCCACCTGGATAGAAAAAGGATTTGTGAGGTCCTTGTAACCTTAAGTTGTGGGATACCAATAACTTCCACCATGGTGTTAAGTGTGGATTCAAAGTTATTGGGCCTGCCTGTTGCTTTGGGCTTTGACATTGCCGATTACAAGGAGGAAGATTTTGGGCAGACCTCATGAGGACGTTAGGAGTTTAAGTGGGAAACTTATAACAACTCGTCCCACATGGATACAAAAGGGATCTGTGAGTTTCTTATTAGCCTCAAGTTGTGGGCTACCAATAACTTCCACCATGGTTTTAAGTTGGATTCGAAGTTATTGGGCCAACCTGTTGCTTTGGGCTTTGGGGTGTTTTAGAAACAATTCATAATGTACTCTGTCATCTTTGGTAACATAAAAAGTTGGTTGATGGTTGATTTTTCCTATTGGCTGCAGATGTTTGCAGAGCTGCAAATGCTAACTCCTTTGGTGGCCACAAGAGAAATGTACTTTGTGAGATACTCCAAGCAATTGAATGCTGATAAGTGGGCAATTGTGGACATTTCTATCGACAATGTCGAAAAAAATATTGATGTGTCCCTTGCTAGATGTAGAAAACGTCCATCTGGTTGCATCATGGAGGACAAATCAAACGGCCACTGTAAGGTAATGTTAGCCAAGGATTTCAGATGTGATATTGACTCTGTTTTAGTGACTAACAAAATTATCTTTGGGTTTCCATATGTCTTTTTTCCCACTAGATGGAAATTCCTTTTAGAAAGCCGAGAGAAATTGATGTCAAATGTTCCTTCTGAAAATATCGAATGTGTTCTTTCAGGTGACATGGATAGAGCATTTGGAATGCCAGAAAAGCATCTCTCATTCTATGTATCGTGCAATCATCAATAGTGGTTTAGCTTTTGGAGCAAGGCATTGGATGGCCACATTGCAGCAACAATGCGAGCGTCTTGTGTTCTTCCTTGCAACAAATGTTCCTACTAAGGATTCTACCGGTATTTAAATCTAGACTTCTTCATGCTCCTCTTTCATATGCCATTTTTCTAGAACTTCACCCTGAATACATCTATTCAATCAGGCATTTCTACACTGGCCGGGAGGAAAAGTATTTTGAAATTGGCACAGAGAATGACATGGAGTTTCGGTCGAGCACTAGGTGCCTCAAGCCATTGCACATGGAAAAAGATACTGAGCAAGACAGGGGATGACATAAGGGTGGCATCTAGGAAGAACCTAAATGATCCCGGTGAACCCTTAGGGGTGATACTTTGTGCAGTATCATCTATATGGTTGCCTGTTTCTCACACTGTTCTTTTTGATTTTCTAAGAGACGAAACTCAAAGAAATGAGGTATACATAAACTCCTTCTCAGGCTTTTCCTAAGATTGTTGAAGTTGATACAGAGTAATGTTAAAACAAAGACTAGATCAAAGGTTTCAAGATTTATTTTGCCTGAATTTCAGTGGGATATTATGTCTAATGGAGGTCCGGTGCAATCTATAGCAAACTTGGCAAAAGGAAAAGATCGAGGAAATACCGTCTCCATCCATGTAAGATTTTCCCTGATTTATGTCCACCATGTGCTAGTCCTGGTCATTCTACATGTCTCTTACTCTTGCATAAGCCAGGGTCTTCATGGAAACAACCGCTCTACTCTTTGCGGTAGAGGACAGGTCTGCTTACCCCCCCCCCCCGGGGACCCTACTTTTGAATGGGATTTATTGGGTTTGTTCGGTTTTGTAAACCTTGTCAAACAAATCCGCAAATGATTCTGTAGGTTTCAAAATACTGGAATACAAATGCAAGTGGACCACAAACAACAAATACGGAAAATCTAGGTCTAGCAACAAGTAAATGGCTATCCAAGTATAATATACCAACTACAAGCTAAATCCAAGGCAATATAACCATAGGCGAAGGATGACATAAAAACATCTCTTTCCATGTCTTCGGATACAACCCATAAGGGTTTGCCCGTTCTTTGTACATATAGGCCAGATATGAATGTTTTATTCATTTCATAYGGGACTACTTACTTACCTAAAGTGAACTTTTGGCTTACCTAAAAAGTGGACTGAAGGAACTGACCTAAGCATAGCTCTCTCTCTCAAATAAAAATGCCTTTCATTTCTCTTTTAAAACCTCTGTCCTACTTATAGCCTCAGTCCTCCAGCCTATCGAAAGTCATCTTTTTATTARCATTAACCAACAACACATGCACTTTGTTGGCACTAAAAAAAAGGTTATTCAATCCACTAATGCAACTGAAGGAATTACCTCTTTTGAACCGGAATAAGAAAGAGCTCATAACCACTACTTGTGAACAGCTCTCCTCAACTGAAGGCGCACCTACTGTTACTAGAAGTCTAGTCTCTSTGTGAGAAGGAAAATTATAGTGAAAAGCGTAATAAGGGATTGAAACCCTTGATCACTTTTAATCTCATGCCCACCTATGAATTGCCCTTTAGAAGGGAATTGATGCGGTACATCACGATGCACTTCATTAGTGTTGACATTCAATTAGGATCGATCCAAGGGTGGAGACATGAGATATCTTCTTACGCTTCTCACCATAACTTCCCTTCTCACTAGAAAACCCAACCCTATAACCATAAACTAGCAAATGAGACACGAGATTCAACGTGGTTCCGCTGCCGTGAGGTAGTGTGTACGTCCACCCCCAAGAGAGAGAGATCACTTATATTAATAAAGGGAGTACAAATGCAGCTTGCAATGAAAGATTGATCACCAAAATCTAGCTATAATAGAACACAAGAAGGCTTTTCTCTAAAAACTAAACAAACTGAAACTAAAAGGCTTCATATATGGTGAATATGAGCTAGGGGGCCAGGGCCAAAATGGGGTGAAAAAGCCCCAAATCTGCCAAGATATTCGTCCCAACCCCCCCCCCCCCCAAAATCGCAAAAATTGTACCGAAGGTTCAGGGCCAGGCACAATCAAGCCTCGCTGAGAGTCCCCTGTTCCTATTTTATGTAGCACAACAGGTTGGTTTGGTTTGGTTTATCCGTGTAAGATTTGTTTCTTTTCGATCAAATAAAAAGGAGAGAAAAATGCGGTCATCCTATCTTGATATTATTTCTTTAATCCAGACAATGAAGTCGAAGGAGAACATGTGGATGCTTGAGGATAGTTGCACAAACAGTTACGAATCCATGGTCGTTTGTGCTCCAGTCAGTGTGAGCAGCATGCAATCTGTAATGGCTGGCTGTGACTCTAGCAACATCTCTATATTACCCTCGGGTTTTTCCATTCTTCCTGATGGGGTCGAGACAAGGCCGTTGGTGATCACTTCGAAAGCACAGGATAAGAGTTGGGAAGGCTTAGGAGGGTCGTTACTAACTGTTGGTTTTCAGATCCTTACAAGCAATTCCCCCACGGGTAAACATAGTATCGAATCCGTGGAGTCGATCAATACACTTATCTCGACAACTCTGCATAATATCAAGGTTGGTTTACAGTGTGATGATCAGTGATCAATAACCCCGCCCCCGCCCCCTCCCCCGCCCTACCTATCGACTTCAGATATATACTGATGTAACATGAGGAATTGATTCCAAAAAGGTGTCATAAATTTGGCTTTTTCCAAATATTAGGTGAAAAGGTCTTTTGGTACAAGTAAATATTTGGTGGGTTTCATGCTCTGGTGAGATGAAGACAATATGCTAGTATGTAAAACTCTTTGATAATGGTTAATTTTAAGAACACATTGTATAGCTTTTTATCCCAGAAGATGAACACATTGTGGCTTATCTTGAAGGGTAAAATTATCAATTGATTTAGTGGTAATTAAACCATTTTCATAACTACTTGGCCTTGAGGATTAAGGCAATGGCCATCAAGCCCTTATATATACTTGCATAACAGTTGCAACGTATTGTATATAAGGTTGAAACGGATCAAAGGCAGACTCAGAAGCATCGAGTCATAAGACTATTCAGAAGCTCGTAATCAAAAGGCTGAGAAGCTCCAAGTCGTAACTCTTCACGATCAAGAAGCTAGCATCCGAAGAAATTGTCAAATTCTATATGATGTTGGGTTCTAAGTTCTAGCACGCTTCATCCGGTGAAGGCTAGATGGGCTCGAATACAAATTGTAAACCCCGCGAAGAATCGTGTCAGAGAGAGTTATGATGATAAGCGTAAGAAGAATGCTCACTCATGAATTGCGCTTTAGAAGGGAATTGGTCTGGTGCATCTCGATGTACCTCATTAGTGTTCACATTCAATTATGATTGATCCAAATATGAAGATTTATTTTTGCCCTTCTCACCAGGACCCGGTCCTTGTAAACCTTGCTTATTATATTAATTGAAATTGAAGAAGAAGCTTGAAACCGAATTTTTCCAGTATTTCAAATATACTATTTTCTCAATGGGTTGTTCTCTTTGAATAGATGTACAAAGTATGGAAGTTAAGATAAGTATGCTTCTTAATAACAGGTATTACGACCCATTGCACGATATGTTTTTATCCGACAAGTGCTTATTGGTTAAGAGTCTTTCTCTTATCAAATAAGATTCTCAATCCTTGTTATTAGTTGAGATTATCAGGTTTTTGCAATGTAACTGACAGCCGGCAAATGCCTTAACCGGTAATCATTTGGTACTCGGCCCTAACCAGTAATTTGTATAGATACTCGCTCTGGGTTGGATTCAAGAAAAACCATAAAGAAAATGAAAACCTCTTGGTAACCGTTCATCAATACAGTTTGGTTTGAGTTTGGCTCCAAATGTCAAAAGTACCGGGAGGTCCAGGTTCAAATCCATGAAGGAATAAAAATCCCTTGTGGCCACGGAGGTTCAAATACGGTGGCTCCATGCTATCTGCAAAACAGGTGGTCGTCCGAAGATTAGTCGGCGAGCATAGCGGTTTGGATATCATGTTAACAAAAAAAAATGGTACGGATGGATTCAAACCATACAATCGTTCAACAAGATGTGCCATAGACTCATCGGCGTCGGAGAGGTTCATTTGAGGTTATAAGCTTTTCCGGTGATTATTCTGTGGTGCAAGCAGCTTGTTGACGCGAGGGGAAAGGCAAGTAACGCTTTTTACATGTAAAGTTTCTTTCACATTGAGGGTTTGTTCTCTGAAGCAATCAATCAAACAGATGGTGGACAAAATAGGTGTATGGATGACCTGCCGAATGTCGGAATATCTCCAAACTGAGCTCGCGAAACGATTCAACGTCTTCAAATCATGGGAAATTCCGTCCAAAACCGACTTCTTCAACCAACATTCGCGATCAATCAGAGCAGTTGTTGGAAACGGAGCACACGGAGCTGACTCCAGCTTAATCGAATCACTTCCATATCTAGAGATCATCTCGAGTCACAGTTCTGGCTTAGATAAGATCGATCTGGTGAAATGCAAAGAGAAGATAATTAGGGTTACATCCACTCCTGACGCCTTGACTGATGAAGTCGCCGATTTGGCCATACTGCTGATTCTGGCGACTCTCAGAAAGATTTGTGCCGGCGATCAGTATGTAAGGAATAGGATGTGGAATCAAGGAGACTTCGAATCGACCACCAGAGTACGTTTCTTCCTTCCTTCCTTGATCAGAACATAAATTCAAACAAAAAGTTGATCCAAACATTTTGATTTGGAACTATATTTCATCGATTCATATCCAGCACAATCTGGATCTCGAATTTCTGGTTTGCTAGAATCACTGATCGTTTAATTTTACTTTCAGGTAAGTGGAAAACCAGTGGGGATTATAGGGTTGGGAAGAATAGGGTCGGCAATTGCGAAAAGATTGGAGGCATTTTGTTGTTCTATTAGTTACTACTCCAGATCAGAGAAACCAAATTCAGGTTACAAGTATTATCCAAATGTGATTGAATTGGCTATCAATTGTGAAATCTTGGTTATTGCTTGTTCATTGTCCCAATCCACACGCCATATAATCAACCGTGAAGTAATAGATGCTTTGGGGCCAAAAGGATTTCTCATTAACATTGCACGAGGGGGTCATGTAGATGAACGCGAGCTTGTGTTGGCTCTTGTTGAACGTAGACTTGGTGGGGCAGGGCTTGATGTGTTCGAACATGAACCAGAGGTACCTGACCAACTCATTCATCTTGATAATGTGGTTCTATCGCCCCATGTAGGGGCTTGCACAGCGGAAACCCGGATGGCCATGGCTGATCTTGTTGTAGCAAATCTGGTGGCTCATTTCTCTGATCAACCATTGATAACGCCTGTGATCTGAGAGAGATTATGCATCTGAAGGTAATTTGCATAAAGATTTGATCTTTTTACTGTCATAGTGCACATCTGAGACTCCACCAATTACTTTAAAAAAATGGGGTTATTTAGAGGGTACAAAATAGAAGGAATTGATCTATTTTCAAACAAACTACACTTTCAACAAATGTGTGATATTCAGAATCAAATGATCTCTGGCTTGATCAGAAGATCCTTTCAATTGGCTAAAAACCCTTCCTTTAAGGGAACTAATTCTTGTGGAATTATATTGAATATTTGACGGAACTTTTTATACCTTACGAACAAACCAATCCTTGTCTACCAACCACACATTACTCTTTCTAAATTCATGTCCTTGTGCATGCAAGTGACATTCTTATTCTTGTGTCGTGTAGTAGCATGCTAAAACCTGTCAAAAGTTCATGAATTTAAAAAAAAATACAAGTGGTGATATAACCAAAGGACTCTTTAATATAGATGTTCCTTAGAATAAACAACTTAATGAGCTTAACGGGACTCACAGCTTATTCCGTCTGTTATACATGACTGTTTGGTAGTGGCTTGATAATAAGAAAGTGGCTTATTCAATAAGCTTAATGGGAAAGTTTTATGAAGAAAGCCAAGTATTTTCCAAATGGGGCCCTCCCAATTTAAAAAACATGTCCTTTCTATCTATGAAAAAACTCTCTCCAACTAAAACCTTCATGATTTATATAAACAGATTAATCAATACAGACAACTTTATCCATAAAGGAATCATGAAAAACCAACTGAAGAGGCCTTAGATTTCTTTATTGTGGTGTTACATCAGGATTAGGAAGATTCAGCACCTCCCAAGACTTCTATAATCTTCTGAAGATCTTGCACACATCCTAAAATATGACTGCGACCCAAAATTTGTGTGAATCAGAGGCCCTTCACCATCACTAGTATCATAGTGCTTATTATTATTAGTTCTTAGATAACATATACGTTCTTTAAATTGTGGATGCAGAAAATAAAATACATCAAGCAGTAGTAATCTACATTAAAAACCCAATAAAAGACAAGTAAAAAAGCTTACAGGCTGCCAAAACTAAATTTCTCTGCATATCCCTAACTATTAGCTATTAGATACAAGTTGATAGAAAGAAGATATGAACACAAATTTTACCTATTTATTTTGTGGGTTTTCAGTATTTTGAGAGATCTAAGATTATGATTATGATTATGATTATGAAGATAGAGATGAAGCCCCTTTGAAGATGAGGAAATTGAGTGTCTCCAGTGTGAAGTAGATAAAAGTTCCTTTGGTGTGAGTGAAGAAACATCCAAAGTTTGATCCCACCACACATTGCCATCCATTCCCATATTTCTTGTCAAACTCCTGTCACCATTCCATATCATCATCATCATCATCATCATACATTTATTCAAACCCCCATCTTTCTTCAAGATTCACAAAACCAGATGTCCATGTATACATACATATGCATTACCATATTATAGACTATTCAACCCCCATCTTTCTTCAAGATTCACAAAACCAGGTGTCTATATATATATATATATATACAGAGAGAGAGAGAGAGAGAGAGAGAGAAGGGATTTTGATAGGATAATTGTACCTTTTTGATGTGGGCAGCAATGGATTTGCAGTCAAGAACATCAAAGAGATCTAGAGCTTGAGAAGCATAAGCCATGGCTTGGATCTGCATCTTGATTGGCATGTCTGTATCCTCTACCAGTGCTTTCCCTTCCAACATCTCTCTCTCTCTCTCTCTCTCTCTCTCTCTCTCTCTACCCTTTATCCACAAATGGACAGGTGTTTATTATATGGGTGTAAGTAGGTGATAACTATGAGGTAAAAGCAAAAGAAAAAAGAAAAAGGATTTATAGAGATGTAGAAAGGCAGAGACATGAGGGATGACTAATCTAACATTTCCCCTCAAATTTCTTGTATAATGTTAAAAATGCTGACGTTATTCCATTCTATCTTCTTTCAGAAATAAAGAAATCCATTTCACTTGACTGGGATACTGTGAAATCTCACCTTTATTTATTTAAATCTAGGTGTTGTTATCAAAGTTCATCTGTAAAGACTTTAAATTATTTATAGTTATTTAAAGATTGGTCGATACACTACACCATCCATAAATTTAACTACGATCACATGGTAGGTAATTTTAAGATCGATCCATCCGTTAAAATCAACCTACTTCAAAGATTTGACAGTGTTATGTAATTTTATTTTAAATTATAAGAGTTTAATTAAAATTGTCATAAATTTGGAGTTTATAAAAAGCAAAGTCTGGAACGGACAGCGATGTTAAGGATAAGTAGAAAAGGTTGGGATGAATAAATAATAAAAACAAAAGCTTGGGATAAGGGAGATTGAGTTCTATGTTCAATAAGGTTGCAGGCTGTTTTTGTTATATGGACCGGATAAAATTCATTGTCTCATGTTTAACGTAATATGAAATACGACAATAATTTATTGTTCCACGTTTGATGCAACAATGGAACAAAGATAAGAACCACGACAAGGTGGGACATCATTGCACAAAAAAGTTTTTTCTTGTTTCACCAAAATAGGTGAAATAAGATTAGACAAGAATGAGACAAAAAACTAAAATATTACTAACTTTCGTTTGATATATAACTTTAACATGATATTTGTTTTTAATAGTCAACATCGCTAGTTGCGACTGTCGCCACCACCAGTAGCCACCATCAGCGACCTCCTCCTCCACAACCACCATCGATTATCAAAGTCTATCACCACCTTCACAACCACCATCGGCCACCTACCACAACCGTCTATCACCACTACCACCGTTGGCCAATCTCCACCTTCTCTTCTACTACAACAACCTCCTCCACAACCATCGCCGTCCACTGACCACCACCACTACCATTGTTGGCCACCTCCACCTTCTCTTCTACTACAACCTCATCCACCACCTCCTTAACCATCGTCGTCTATTGACCGCCACCATCCGTTGCCGCCACCACTACCACTGTTGGTCACCTCCACCTTCTCTTTTACTACAACCTCCTCCACCTCCTCCACAACCATCGTCGGCCACCGACCAACACCGTTCATTGCCTCCACCATCGGCTACCACTACCACTGCCCACCACCGCTACCACTATCACTGCCCACCACCACCACCACCACCATGGGCTACCACTACCATCGTCGGCCACCACTATCGGCTACCGCTACCACTATCTACCATATTCATGTCCTCCACAACCACAACCGTTCATCTCCACCACCACCACTACCCACCATCACACCTACCTCTACCATATAGGCCACAACTACCTCCTCCACCATTGTCGACCGCCACCACCACCATTATCCACCATCTTCACGTCCTCCACAACCACTATTGTCCACCAATCACCAATGCTTCTACTCCATAACCATTGTTGTTGCAACAATCTTTACCTTACCTTCACCAATTGATAAAGATCTTTCAAACCGAATAAAACGTAATTTCTTCTTTGTATGAATCGGGTTCTAGCAAAATACCATCAATTATATAAAAAATCTCATTCAAATTTGGTACGATTTTATATTTATGTATAAGAAAATTGTGTAAAAATGTTTATAAATTAAAGTATTTACTTTATTTGTTTTAATTATAACTATTATATGATATATAAAATCATAAAATAACTTTTGAGGACAACTTATCTAGTTCTGTCATATCTAGCCCTAGTCGTACCTAGACATACACTTGTTCTGTATAGTCTTATCCTCTTGTTATGTTCAGTCCTATATAATCATGTCTGCGTACCAAACGTTACCGCATAGTCGGTTAATCGTACAAATATTGTCATGTTTTGCTTATATCTAGATTTATAGTTTTAAAACGAGTTTGACATAAGTTCTATCTAGTTTTTTATAAGACAATATTTGTTCTCTCAATTGATCTGGGATCTCATAATCCACCTTTCTTAAGAGCCTAACATCCTCATTGACACACCCGTCCACTTGCTATAATTGTTTAATTTTTGAAAAAAAATATGTATTATAAGGTTGTGAATTTTTCTAAATTTGGACAAGTTTTAAAATGGATTACCATGAAAAATATACTAAATTTTACTATATTCCTACCAATTAAAAATCTTGAATTCAAATGTTTGAGAGATTAATAATATTTTATTAAATGTATAAAATATAAATACTATATTACAAAGCATTTGATAAAAATTCTTAAAAACCAATTTTTATGCATGAAGTACTGTTTATTGATGMATATTACTTAAAATTCAAGATCACAAGTAAATTGTGCGTAAGTACAACTTATTAAAGTTTTATGTTTGAATTTGTAAGTACAAACGTCCATGAGAGTTCATTTATTATGATTTGAATATTTATAGAAGGTTACTAGAGTTCATTAATCATGATCAATACTCTATATTATGAAACAATCAAAACTTTTATGAAATCACATATTCATCAAATTAAATGGACGGTTGAGATTGAGTTGTATTGGTTGTACAAATGTAAATGGTCACATAATAATTCACAAACACACACACACACACACATATATATATATATATAGGGGCACGTTCAATTGAAAACCGTGCAATTCTAAGAAACCGTGTAAACCAATTTCAACCAATAGGAAAATTCCATTCTTTTCTAATTAAATTTAATTATTAAGGGTATTTCGGTCATTTAAGTTATTTCTATTAAATATGGAAATAATTAAGGAGTATTAATTATGGAAAAGTAATAATGAAATTCTTAAAAATGGTAATTTTTAAATATGTAATTATATTATGATAATAAAAATTAAAAGTAAATACAATGTAATCTAAGTGAATCTGGATTGTGATTATTGGAGATTGTAAGTTTGTGATTGAATTCATTCAAAAACATTGTGGTTGATGAAAAAAAATTCAAAATGATGAAACTGGTTCATGACATGGGATTAAAATGAGTGGTGGAATACTTGTTTGGTGACCCCGATTCATTTGTGGTTTAGTTGATCTATATAGTTATGGAATGTGAAAATGAAACTTGTTCATAATGTTTGTGATTCCTCAAGAAGTAATATGATGATGAAACAAGTTTCATGTAGATGAAACTGGTTCATGACATGGGATTAACAATGAGTGGTGGAATACTTGCTTGATGACCCGATTCATTTGTGGTTTAGTTGATCCATATAGTTGAAGAATGTGAAAATGAAACTTCTTCATAATATTTGGGTTCGTCAGCAAGTAATATAATGATGAAACAAGTTTCGTGTAGATGAAACTGGTTCATGATGTTAACGCATACGAGGAGTGGTGGAACATTTGCATAGTTACCCAATTCATTTAAGATTTAGTTGTATCATTAGCATGTGAATGTGAGGATGAAACATGTGCACAATGTATGCGTTTTGCAATGAAATAATTTCATAATTGAAGTGTATGAAACTGGTGTATGATGTAAGATTATATTTTTAATATATTTTTTTTATTTCCTTAAATAAACTAAAATAATCTTTTACACTTTTACCCTTATTGATGATATAAGATTATATTTTTAGTATGTATTTTTTTCATTTCCTTAAATAAACTAAAATAATCTTAACCGTTGATTAATAAAATGGATGGATGAGATTGGTTTACACGGTTTCTTAGAATTGGGGCGGTTTTTATTTGAACGCTCCTCTATATAGAGGAGCGTTCAAATGCGAACCCTCTCCGTTTGTGTAAACCGTGTGAACCAATCTCAACCATCCATTTTCTTGATCAATGATCAAGATTTGTAGGCTTTATTTATGGAAATTAAAAAAAAATAAAAATAAAAATTCAATTTATTTAATCAGTAAGGGTATAATGGTAAACATAATTATCAATTCCTAAGCTCCTAATCGCAATCTTTCATCAGAATCCCGTCTTCATCGCGAACATTCCCAAATCACTGCAAAGGTATCACTTCTTCCCAATCGAATATAGTGTTTCCAAAATCATCGATCATCAACATATTCAAGAAAAATGGTCGGCAATAATGGAGGTATGTCGAATAACTTTGAAAAATACAATTCATCATGTATCACGATGAAAGTTGTGCATTAATCTCGAATAACTTTGAAAAATAAAACTTGCATTAYAATGAAATTATTTCGTTACAATGAAACACTTTCATGATGAATGTATTTCATTAATTTTTTTTTTAATTTTCTTCATTACATATTTCACATGAAACTATTTCGTTATATATTTCACTTYAATCTATCTCATCATACACCCGTTTCATTATACGTATATTTCAAAAAGAACAAAATCCAATATGCACTCGTTTCATGACCATTCTAACAACAGAGCGGTTCAACTTCTGATACAATGCATAATGTATCACGATGAAAGTAGTGCATTAAACTAGCTATACTTTCTTAACTTTTCACATGAATCTATTTCATTAACTTTTCCACCTCAATCTATTTCATTAACTCTTTTAAATTAATCTACTCCATAATGCACCCATTTCGTGATACGTTAATTTCAAAAGTAACAAAACGATTTATGCAACAGTATCATGACTATTATAACAA